GAAAGAATAGATATCAGTGAAGCAGTGAGCTATCTCTGCGCCACGGCCTAAGCCACCCTAGATTTCTTCCAGGCACTTCTCCCCAAACTCTTCCCTCCTCATATTCAAGCCTTGTCCTGTTCCAGCATCCTTCTCTCCTATCTCCAACAGCCATGTGTCCATTCTGTTAGAAATTAGAATTCTCTCTTTCCTCCAAAACAGATTCCTCCAATAACTCCTATGCATTTCTGGCCTTGACCTGCATCCCTTTTTGCTTCTCTGTAAACCTGCATAGGAGGCTCATCAGCATGAGTTCTATCGGAAAGACATCATAGGTGCTGATCAAGCTCTTTATAATGGCATTCAAAATGTGCTAATATAGTCAGATTACTCAATTAGATGTTCTGTCATATATTTGTTAAAATGTTATTGACACTGCAGCAAATATAATTCAAAAGTCAAACTTATATTACTAGTAGTATAATAAGCACTTGAGCCACAAAATAGAACAAAATACTGATAACCTATCAATGTAAATATTACGTGTTCGGTCATGTTAATCACTGCAAGGTGGTTATAGCCATCTCATTGCTTTTGAAGATTGACTTTGAGTGAAGAATGCTAACAGAAACTCTGGACACCTGTGCTATGGATCACGTTTTTTATGCCTTTGTTCATACTATAAGTACATTATGAAATCTCAAGGGTTAATTTAATTACTCCAGTGTGCTATGCTGCTTATGAAGATTATTAATTGGATTTATTTCTGCTGCAATGCATTAATCTGAAGCAATGTTTTCAGGTGACAGAGGTATACAATTTCTCCCAGGATGATTTGATGACAGAGGACATTTTCATCTTGGATTGTCACTCGGAAATCTTTGTCTGGGTTGGCCAGCAGGTTGACCCTAAGAGTAGAATGCAGGCTCTAACAATTGGTGAGGTATGACTGGTTTTGCCGGAACCCATGAACATACTAGAATAATTTAGTGGATATTGTTTTGAAGTCTTTGTTTTGTCTTTGCAGTTATAATGTATATTTATGTCTTATAACATCCCTGTATCGTAAGAGAAACCATAAGATTTTAATTTAAGCATTCTAGTGTCTTTTTACATCATGGATTTAACATCTATTAGAATTTGAGTCAGCTGTGGATTTATACTTGTTCTTTTGAATTGAACAGAAATTTCTTGAGCATGATTTTCTTCTAGAAAAATTATCTCGTGTAGCTCCAATATATGTTGTCATGGAAGGGAGTGAGCCACCTTTCTTCGCTCGCTTCTTTAAATGGGATTCTGCCAAATCTGCAGTAAGTTTTCAACATAATGACATCATGATATGACTTCTGGTTGTTTTAAAATCCTAACTATTGGCAATCCCTTTTTTACTTGCAGATGCTGGGAAACTCATTTCAAAGGAAGCTTACAATTGTGAAAAGTGGGGGTGCTCCACTTTTGGATGTAAGATATTTTTCCCCTCCTCCTTCACTGTCACTAATGAAATGTTCCTTTTCTTGTGTGTACGTAATTATTCAAACTCATTATCAGAAACCCAAGCGGAGAACACCAGTATCTTATGGGGGAAGGTCAAGTAGTGTGCCAGATAAATCCCAGCGTTCATCCCGCAGCATGTCTGTCAGTCCTGATCGTGTTCGGGTGAGGGGCAGGTCTCCAGCCTTTAATGCACTGGCAGCTAATTTTGAGAACCCTAATGCTAGGAACCTTTCAACTCCACCTCCAGTAATTAGAAAGCTGTATCCAAAATCTGTGACACCAGATTCTGCAATACTGGCACCAAAATCTGCAGCCATAGCTGCACTTAGTTCTACTTTTGAACAACCACCTTCAGCACGAGAAAGCTTGATACCTCGGTCACTTAAAGGTAAACAATTGATGAAATAATTGAACATCCTCCCTCCCCCTCCTCCTTTGAGTAATGCTTTTAGTATTATAATTTACTAAATGCAATATGCTGTCTGTTTTCTTGGTTGTTATAATGTGAAGTGAGTCCAATTACACCCAAATCAAACCCTGAGAAAAATGACAAGGAGAATTCTGTGAGCACCAGAGTGGAATCTCTTACCATACAGGAGGATGTGAAAGAAGGTGAAGCTGAAGATGAGGAAGGTCTTGTGATTTATCCATATGATCGTGTTAAAATAACATCCACAGATCCTGTAACAGACATTGATGTGACTAAGCGAGAGGTATAATGGACTATGTAGCTTTTTAACATCATCTCTTCTCTACTTGTTTTTGATCTTTTGTTGTTCTTCTCCCATTCTTTGGTAATTGCAGCTTATAATTAGGCTTTATTTCAGTTTAGTTTTGATTTGTTTGAGCTTTGTTTTTTACAGACTTATTTATCATCTGCGGAGTTCAAAGAGAAATTTGGGATGTCGAAGGATGCATTTTACAAGTTGCCGAAATGGAAACAAAACAAACTCAAAATGGCTGTTCAGTTATTCTGATTCTTAAGAGTTTACTTAGCCTTCTGTCATCTCCTGCAGTATAGGTTGCAGGTAGAAGAAATTTTGATTATAAACATTATTTTTTCGTTGGCATTTTTATGTTTAGTTCTTTTAGTGTCTGTCTTAGATCTCAGGGAGCTTGTGTGTTTTGCAGTGAGGAACTAAACATATGGAATTAAAGGGGACAGCATCAGTGTTTTTTTTAGCATAGCTGCATCTGCTCCCAAGAAACTTTTCATGAAGAGAAACTAGAGATTTTCCACCTCTCCCCTTCTCTTTGCAATGGTTTGAATGTTTAGGGTTATTTCTTTGTTGAGTTAGCTGTGTGGCATTAATTTTAAAGGGCACAGGTTGTTTGTGAGCTTGCCTTTTATTTTTTTTGTTTTATTTTTTCGGGGTTTCATGCTAGTCTTCATTTTATTTTTTCAATTTAAAATTGTTTTGGTAAAGCAATTTGGGTTGCAAATGCGGTCTACTTAGGTTGTATTGATATTGAGGATGAAGTGTGTACAAAGTGTAAAAACCAGTCAACTCGTAATTTGTTTTGGAAATAAAGTGTGATTCTTTGTTATTCTCAATAGCACTTTTGAGCTAAATTTCCTCAAGCTCAATATTGTGATTTAAGTTACTAATAAAAGCAGCTAAGCATTCGGTTTGAATTGATTGAGGAAAAAAAATTTACTTGAACCAATTATAAATAAAATTTGCATGTCAATTTGAGAATAATATCAAAATCAAACTAATTTGAATTGATATTTTGCGGTTTGAATTGGATCAGTTTCTTTTGGTGTTTTATTATGTTTTTCTTTAATTTTTAAGGGAATCAACTTTTAACTTTTTGATTAGTAAATAAATAAAATTTTACTAATTAGAGCATGAATGGAGTTATAATTATATAATTTGTTGTAGTAATTAATTTTTTATTTAAGAAACAATGTTTATTAAATAAATTTTAAATCAAACATCTTTAAAAAATAATAAAAAATATTGAATCTCATCATAAATTATAATATAGTTTAACAAATAAATCTTAAATCATAATAATCTCATCTTTTTCTTAAAAAAAGTAGAATCTTGTTTTATAAAATATATGTTAGATTACTATTTATATAAAAATATAATACAAAAATTTATATAAAGTATGTTTATGGTTTGGTTTCGCTTGGTTTTGAAGATGAAAGGCAAAAATTTAATCAAACTGTAAAAGAAAAAGCAATTTTTTTAGGTTAATAGTTAATTCATTTTTTTAAAAATAAATTTTACAGTTTGAAATGGTTTAGATCCATTTTAAATACCTTTAGTAGTAGGATTCATTGAATCGTCGAACAACAATATGTTGAAAATGTATTAAAAGAGAAGAGAAAAGTGAGAGGGATAAATTTTAATCATTAAATTTAATTTTGAATTATTATTTTTAAAAGATTAAGCGATATGAAATTTTAAAATGATCATATAATTTTTAAAGCTGTTTCTGTCTTACTATCTATGTATGATGTATGATTTAATGATAAAAATTTATTCCTTTTATCTTTTATATTAATTTTTTTTATTACGCAAATTTTTTATACACTAAATTTAACTTTTAATTAATTTAACTGTTGAGTTATATGTAATTAAACATTCGTAAATATGTAACTTAAAATTGTTCATATTTGTATACATTTTTAAAAGTACATTATATATTAAAATAGTTATTTGAATAATTCTTAAATGATATACAAATTTGTTAATTTGCTTTGCTTAATATAAATTCTAAATTCAATGGTTAGATTAGTGTCCAAAAAATGAATAAGAGTAAAAGACTTATCTCTGGAATAAATAGATTCTTTTTTAATTTAAATTATTGTTATTTCAACTAAGTGGCCATTTCTTAACTTTATTTTATTTTTTTAAAAATCTAGTCAAATTTATTTTATCTATAAATTTAAGGGAAAAATGTTAACTTGGTGCCTGTTTGTTTATCCGGTAATGGAACGAAACGAAATTTCGTCGGATCAAAACAAAACAAAAAAAAAAAAAAAAAAAAAGAAGAAAGAAAGGAAATTTTGTAAATATAATCTACGGTCTCATGAATAGCATGATTTCTAAGACACATTTTTTATTTTTGCTCTGCCAGGAATCGATTATGATGGTTCCTTAGGAGAAACAAATCAGAGTCTTAATGATGTTAATCGTACACTTTGTTTAGCCCTTATCTTAAGTTATTTCCCTTAACACCCATATTAGTTAGTCATGGTAATTGTTGTTTTCCATTTAATTCGTTTTCAATAAATAATTATTTCTTTTTGTTCATTTTTCAGAATACTTTTATAAAAATGAGTCATTATGTTTAAAATTTAAAAATGATCCTATATACATTAATAAGTTTTTAAAGTTAAGTGCAACCAAAAAAGGTAAGGTGTAAATAAATAATATTATCACAAAACAAAAGACGACAAATTCATACTATTTCATGAAGTTAATAATAAAAAACAGTTTAATTTTGATTTGTGTGGCCGTTTAGTTTATATTTTCCTTTTTTAAAAAAGAAAAGGTTAGCGGTGCAGTTACACAGTTGACAGTACACAGCCAGAGGAGAGAGAGAGGATCCCGTGGGAGTGTCCGAGAAAAGAAAAGAAATAGGCTTAGCTTAAAAGAGCGGTGAAGTTGAGGGAACGCGAGGGAGAGTTTATGATTAATACCTGTTATCAGAATCTGACCTTAGAAAGTATAGTTAGTGAGAGGAAACTATAAGGTGTTATTATTATTATTATGAGTAGCGAAAAGGAAAAAACATCTGCACCTTCGTCTTCTCCTTCACCTTCCGTAGAACTCTGCAAAGGCATCAATGGCCTTGAAAAGGTTCTTCTCCGCGAGTCTCGTGGTTCATCTGCCGAGGTTCTCTCTCTCTCTCTCCCTCTCTCTCTCTTATGTATCTCTTCGTTTTGTTGCTTGATCTGTTTCTGTTTTATGCTATTCGCATTCGCTGCTTAAGATTCGACTTTTTCATCGCCGATTCTCATTTTTCGCTTTTGCTGTACTGAGTGCCGATCTCGTGAGAGTTCGCTTGGATCCCGATTTTCTGGTTCCGTTCACTGTAATTACGGTTAATTAGATGAGGATGCTCGATCTAGCTTTGTACACTGATTTTTGCTGTGAAATAAACCTCATAAGTAAACCTCAAGTAAAGTTAAAAAAGAGAAAAAGAAAACTCGATTGTGTTGTTGGATGCTTCTGTTTGATTCTGACGGCGTTTCATTTTTTTTCTTTGTGATCTTCAGGTGTACCTGTACGGTGGTCACGTGACTTCCTGGAAGAACGACCACGCCGAGGAATTGCTTTTTCTCAGTAGTAAGGTGCGTGCTTGTGTGTGAGTTACGAAATGTGTTTGTATTTCATCTATTACTGCTAGTTTATTAATTTGGTTAGCTCATTTCTTTTCTTATGCCTCCATGTTTTAGTTTCAGTAATTTTTCTTCTATTTTGTGCTGTCTAGAGAGAATAGAAATGTTAAAATACTAACTGTATATTTTAGATCTCAATTAGTTTGTGAAGTCTTATTTTGCTTTGAAAATAGTCATTGAGTGATCAGAAGAAATCACTTGTAATAACTGTTGAATCTTTCATTAGTTCAAGATCTTGATTTGTTTTGGTAAGACATTAACGGTTTTTCTAACATGTGCCCTTCAGTACACAATAAGAACACACTCGTATGTATAAAGTTTTTATTACAAATAACAAGATATCACATAATTTAATGCATTAATAAACGTTATAATTTTCAATAAAAATTTACTATTTCTTGATTTCTTAACACGTGTCCTTGGGTGAATGTTAGAAAAACCAAAACATTAATATCAAACTTAATTTCTGATTGTAAAGGAGGATTTAATGTCTCTAATTTGGCTTGGAAATCCATGAGTTTCTATCGTGCTTAAAATTTCATGTATAAAATGTTTGAACCCCTTGTGACTATGGTCTGTCCACTTCAATAGCAGTAATCCAGATTAGCCAAAATTATTTTGATATGGTCTGTCTGAGTGACTATGGTTTTGAATACTTTCAAGGCCATTGTTCATGTTGATTAGATAAGTTATTGTTCATTTTGTTTTACTGTTAACTTGTTCCTTATGCAGGCTACATTTAAGCCTCCAAAGGCAATTCGTGGAGGGATTCCAATATGCTTTCCACAAGTATGTACTTCTTACATATTTCTGTTTTCCATGATTGCTTTTGTATAATGCACTTTTAGAAGAAGAGGTAAAAAGTGAAGGATGGAGAAGAGAGATGAGAAGTGAAGTGTTAAATGGTTATATATTCTTAAAACTTAAGCATTTAAAATTAAATTGTTATGAAAATAAAGTAGATTGCCTACCCCGTTCAGAAAATTAAAATAATATCTTATATTAAGTAATCATATTACAGATTGGAGGTTCATGGTGGTGTGTTAAGGAGGGTGAATTGCTGGCAGTGGATGGGACTCACAGTTAATTTAATGGATGCTAGGGTTCTGTGAACAGTACCCTTGGGCTTTGAGTTTTGTGGATTTTAGAACAGTCCAAAGGACATTAAATTTTCAATGGTATTAATATTTAATGCTTTTGGCCAGGCAGAATAGGCCAGTTTAGTAGTGATCATAGTAGTCAGTCAGTGCGGAGTGGGCTTTGCAGCCAAATCAAGGCCCAAATTGTGTCTTGCTAGCGCACAATGGTGGTGCTATGCTAATGGCTTTGTAAACTTGATGTTGCCCCTGCCACTGCATTGTATTGGTCTTTTTTAAGGGCAAAAAGGACATTTTGTCCTTACTCATAAATAAATCAAAAAAGTCCTAAGTTTCCCTGTTTAAGAAGCATACACTACATGCTGAAACATTTCTCTGTTCTCTCTTTTCTCTGCTTTAATGGCTCTCTTTCAGCCTTTGCCCACCCATTTTGCCAGAGACAACATCATCCTTGGCGACCTTGAAGACTGTTTTCTAGATGCATTTCCTTTCTTTGTTCTCTCTTTCCCTTCTCCAGTGGCACCCTCTGCATCTTTTAATCTAAGTCATCTTCTCCAACAGCTTTCTCGTACTTGTATATTTTGCTTAAGACCAGACTAGACCTATCTTTTGTTGATAATTATACATATGCTATGTGTTACAAATCTGAGTATTTTTTAGCATTATCTATGTAATTATGTGCATATATATAGAATAAATATTTAAATTTTTATGATAGTGGTTATCCCCCACTATAGCATTTTTGGGGGTCAGCTGCTGTGCTGCTATCCGGGATTGGTAACTATGGAATGGATAACTAACCATGATTGAGTAGAAGAAGACAAGAAATAAGCCTAGCCATCACGCAATTGGTTGATTTGATGTCGTCATCCAACCACACAAAGGGCCACTTGCTGCTGAAATTTGTGAACAATCTTTCTCTATTTGATAGTTGAGCACATTAGAATCAAGACTATTCAAAAAGTTGGGGAAGTTGTCAATGACTCAATAGCTTATGGCCCAGTTCAAATAAGCTGCCTCTAATAAAAATTTAACAGTTCAAATAACTAAAGCAAATGATAGAAAATCCCATACATAGACACAACTTTATGCCCACCCTCAAATCCCTTAAACTGAAAATAAAACACATGCTAAAGTAACAACTTATTGAGATTGTTACTCTGAACAATTATGATCTTGTATGATAATAACAGTTATGATCCTGTAAATAAAGAAACCAAAATAATATTAGAGCATTTTCCTTCTATATTTTACTGCTGTCTTGGTCAAACTAAATCTGCAAATCCTAAATTGCTACTAAATTAATTCATTATTAAAATAATGTAATTGAAAATTCTACAATCTATTTTTGAATATTATCACGATTTGTAAATGGCCTTCCAAAAATATTGCATCTGTTGTTATCATCACATTCCAGATTATATGATCACTGAAATTCACTCTGTTGCAGTTTGGAAGCCTTGGCAGCCTTGATCAGCATGGATTTGCTAGAAATCGGCTCTGGACCATTGACGATGACCCTCCTCCATTTCCAACAAATACTTTGAGCAAAGCCTTTGTTGATTTGATTCTCAAGCCTTCTGAAGAAGACATGAAGATTTGGCCTCACTGGTATTCAATAGAAAATGTTCAATATGTTGTTTAGGTTTATTTTTTAATTACCTTGTTTAACTTAAAGCTCATAGTTTGAATTATTTATATTATATTTCATTTTCCTAATTATGTGTCTTTCTGTTTACATATAGTTTTGAGTTCCGTCTTAGGATAGCTCTGGGACCAGGAGGAGATCTGATGTTGACATCAAGGATCAGGAACACAAACAGTGATGGGAAGCCGTTTTCATTCACCTTTGCCTATCATACATATTTCTCTGTATCGGACATAAGGTTAGTGTTTGAGAACATATTTGTCTTGCACTTCAATATCACAGTTTAGTATTAGTGTTCTGTTTTTTATTTATTAATCAACACTGTTGACACATTTAGCAACTTGCTCTGTTTGCTAGCAACCTTAGTTTGTCTATTTCAGAGATGACATTTTATTAATTTTGTAATGAATATTCAAATTATTATATTATTAATTGGAGAATTTTGTAACCAGATTTGTAGTTTTGGTTGTTATAGTTGTCCATAATTCAGATCCAAAAGTTCATCGCAACAATAGATTCATTTATGAGATAGAAAGGGATCTCAAAGCACTGTTGTGGGAGCTTTTAATTTGGCGGTGGTGGGGCGTGGAGGGGGGAGGGAGTGTATAACTTTGGATACTTACTTAAAAAGGGTCAAGGAAGGCATAATAAAATTATAGAAACAATTAAAATAGATGTTATTGTAAATTGTTTCACTGGAAATTCATATTTTGAGAGCCAATCCAATGGCTTCAATTGGTTTACCAATGTAGTCAACCCCACATGGGGGATAAGCTTACTTCTTGTTGTTGCTGTATCTGTAGATTCTGTAGACAATTAAACGAACAATAATCTGAACTTTTTCCTAGTTATGTTGGCAGTTTGATATTAGATCTGTGTTGGAAAGTGAAAGTTGTCTTGGAACTTTTACAATCATCTATGCATTTGTGGCTTGTATAAAGGTGAAGAGTATATATCATTTTCAGTGAACCAATGTGAAAATGATTAGCTAATGTTATTCCTTGAATTAAATTTGCATCATGCAAATGCTATCATGTTGTCCAGTTAAATTTTCTGTGCTTATGTACTTGACTAAATGTGTTGTATTTGGTGAATTTTTTTTAAGTATGATACTTTGGTTAAATTTCTCAACTTTTGGGTGATTGAATTAGAAATTCCGTTGTATTTATAAACAACCCACTTATGTTTCACTTTTCGTCATTTAGTATGCTAATTTAACTTACTTTTTTATTATATTTTTTTGCATTATTATTATTATTATTTAATAGATTAACGTCAAACTTGTTTATTTGAATTCAGTGAAGTTCGGGTAGAGGGATTAGAGACCCTGGATTATCTTGATAACTTGCAGAACAAGGAGCGCTTTACTGAGCAGGGGGATGCTTTAACGTTTGAATCAGAAGTAAGTTTTTTCTTTTTACCTTCTATTTTGTTTTAGGAAGCACTGATACTGAAGATTTCAGTGAATTGAATTAACTGAAATAAATTAAATACATTTCTTTACTTTTCATCTGAATAGATACTTTAGGTGAAACTTAAATCAGTTTTATTTAATTGACAAAAACAAAAAGGAAAAATAATGGATCCAGATCACTTGGTTACGTAGAACAATGGAACAATTTATAGTTGCTAAAGATGTTTTTCATTTTTTTTAGTTACTTATAAATTTAAATTATTTTGCGAGTATTGAATTCCTGCTGCAAGTGGCTTGAAAACATTTGCCGAACAATGTTTTCCATTTGACAGCTTGTGCATGTGAAAGGATGAAGTGATGTAAAAGTGTACTATATCCTCCATTCACAGAAACAATTAGACAGTTTCTTCTTTCCCATCCTAGTTTCCTGTTTTTTGTCTTTTGTATCTTTTTCACCCTTTAATCCGATAACTTGCTGCAATAGGTATGGCCCAGTATTTTCTGGTTGATGCCATGCCACCCAATCCACATCGGCCATTGGTTGGATCCAATCCATTTCTGAAAGAAACCTATCTTTACTAAAAATAAAATTGGAAAGAGGAACAAAATAAACAAAAACACGTACCCAATCTGGTTTGTGTACTGTGCTGGTTTATAGTATTAGTTGACTGATTCTAGGCACATGCATGTAGCAAATTATGTATACTGATATTTCATAGGCTTTGTTGACTGTAAATTGATGCTTCTGTTTTTCTTGATATGGTAGGTTGACAAGATATATCTTAGCACCCCCACAAAGATTGCAATTATTGATCATGAAAAAAAGAGAACATTTGTTTTGCGTAAAGATGGCCTTCCTGATGCTGGTGAGTATTAATCAGTCATCTTATATTGAAATTTTGTGCTTCTCATAAGTGTACTGATTGGGACTTCATTATTTGTAATTTTATAATTTAAGAATATCAAATTGTACTTCATATATGTCTGAATGTACAAGAACAGCTGGGGTAGAATGAGAAGTCAGATTCCCAGTATTGTGTAAAATATCTGTTCTAATTTCCATATATAAAATCTTCATGTAAGGTTACAAGATATGCCATCTAACAATATGGTGACAGTGACTTCTGCAAGAAACTGATTTAAGCTAGCAATGGCATTTTCCAAATTTAACTTTGAATACTTTTGGATGTCTTTGATTTGGTGCTTTTAGCTTGGGCTGTAATCTATTCATGCCTGACTTTATAGCTTGAAATTGATAGCTTCATTAGAGACAAACTTAACGACTCTGAACCAAGTAGATTATTATATATGGCTTTATTAAATTGAGCTGTGACTTCTAAGTTCTCACATTTAAGTGACTGTATGCAAAATTTTTTGTATTAACATTTATTATTAATCTATGCAGTGGTGTGGAATCCTTGGGATAAGAAAGCCAAGGCTATGTCCGATTTTGGTGATGATGAGTATAAACATATGCTTTGTGTGGAGGCTGCTGCTATTGAAAAGCCTATCACATTGAAGCCTGGAGAAGAATGGAAAGGAAGGCTAGAGCTTTCAGCTGTTCCCTCTAGTTATTGTAGTGGACAACTTGATCCCCAAAGAGTTCTTCAGGGCAGCTGAAAGATCATTGTTGTGTTCTGTGTCCTGTACAGGTAATAGCTGCAAATTGTTATATTTCAATTCAGTTGTCTTTTTAACATTACTAATAAAAAGGAAATAAGTCTTGACTTACATTGTTCAACCGAGATTTTTGTTTACTAAAGAATTTAGTAGATATTTGATTGATACTTGTACAAAGTATAGAAATTAATAGAGAAGGAAGAAAGGAAGTTTGAGTATCCTTGAGCGAGAATGATACACAATGCTAAATCAGCTAACTGTCTTCACTCTTCACTTACATTGTCCTACCTCTGCTACTTTTGTTAGAGGACTAAGGTCTAGTTTGGGTAAATTTCTAGAGAAGTCTTTATAGAAGAAAAAAATTAGAATAAATAATGTATAAAATTTATCTCATAAGTTAGAAGCAACTTATTTTCTCAAATTTTAGAGAAGCTAAATTAGAGAGCATTTCAAAACTTCTTAAAAAATGGAGAAACATAAGTTATTTTTGTCTCATGAGAAAAGTTTTATTAATTTTTTATACTGATTTGGTAAGAAATTTTCTATAAATATATCCCAACTGGGCCTAACTATAACATCTCTAACAACTTTAACTAAGGTTTTGCTATCAGAAGTTGGTCTGCTCAGCTATTTGTGCTCATCTTTATTATCCTAACATGTACTTCTGTAATTGGGCTTGTTGCTAAAAATTTTTGTCCATCCTTTTAGTGTGACATGTTACTTCATTTTGCACATGTAACTGCAGAACATACTTGAGAAATAGAATTGTATGATATTTGTTTGTTTTTATTCAAGGTTCGAATTGGGTGTTATTTTCACCAATTGGCATATCATTGCTTAAGATGTTGCGTTTCAACAGTTGTTCCGGACTCTGAAATTTGGTCATCTTGTGCTTTGATATTTATGATTTGATTGGTTAGGGATTTCTTTAGTTCTCGTATTACTCAGGTGGCTCTGGTCTTTCAGACGTGTGTTGATCCATTTAAATGTCTCACTAATCCTTAGGAAAGATTTATCTGCAGGTAGCCTGTTGCGACATTTATGGATGATGAAGAAAGTGTCTCAGTAATTTTGCCCCTTCATGTTTCATTTAAGTCTGTGTTGGACGGATGAACTCATGTTGGATAGAATTTTATTAAACTGTTGTTTTCCCCCTTTAATGGATGAGTAGTGTGGTCATAACAAACTGAACAATGCATATATGCTGAAAGGGTCCACAGTTGTTGTCATGGAAGATAGCCTACAATTCAACAGATTTTCACGTTGGGTTGAATGGCCCAGACCCAGAGGGATTCCCTTTGAATCCATAGTTTTTTGGGTTCTTAAATCCCTATTAATTGTTTATTTCTAAATGTTGTAGGCCTATGAAACACATCCTTGAAAAATATTTTATAATACTAAAGGAATTTACTACAGAAGAACGCTTCACAGGTCATATTAAATATTTGTCTTATTTTGTTACATTATACTATGTTGCTTAAATATTTCTGGTTTAGTTTGTTACATTATCCTACCTTTGTCGTATAAACATACTTTACCAGGTAATGCTATCTTGGGGGATGAGTAATATTATATACCTGGTAAAATTGGGAGACTAACTTCTAGGATTTTGCTCCTTTGAAATGAAGAATTGCACTCAGTACAAGAGTTATTTTGCACGAAGAATTGCATAAAATTGCGAGTCTATTAATCATTGATTTAAAGTTATTTATTTTTAGAAAATTTTTAAATTTATATTAAAAGGTTAATAGATATTTCATTTTATAAAAGTTAAATTCAAAATTTTTAAATCCCTTCATTTAGCTGTCAATATTTTATTGTGTTTAAAACATTTTTTTTATTTTGATTCTATAATTTGTTTTTTTTTTTGGTATAAAGAATAAAATAAAAAATGTGTATAAAGGTCACAATAAAGACTAAAACGAAAAAGTATTTAAATATGAGATAATAAAGTTACAATAGAATTTAGTAACAGAAATTATTTTATAATTATTTTTACTTTAAGGACTTATTTACTTTTATAGATATCAAATAAAAGATATTTTTTGTAGGGACCAAAATAGTATTTAAGTTAAAAATACACTACTAATTAACTATAATTATTAGCCAAACACAACCTTGGAGTGTGCTTTCACAGGTCTTCCTCCTCTTCTTAGACTTTTAGCATTTATCTCGTAAATAGAGTGAAGGATGCACTTGCATGACTTGTTGTAAGTTTATCGTTATATATATGACTCCTCTAAAATGAGAATTTATAAAGCAAAATGTGAAGTTATAAGTAACAATTAGAAAATTAATGAAATAGATCTTAAGAATTTCATAATTTATACACTTATTTTATTACAATCTTAATTGCTAGTTTTTTTTTTTTTTCAATTTACAGTTATATCACGTTGGCATTTGGAAAAGTTTCTATAAATTTTAACAAACTTATATTATTATGGAAGCACTTAAGTTCAAAAGTAAAGGTGTTTTGTAGCAAACAAAAAACAAAAAACAAAAAACAAAAAAGGTAAAGGTGTTTAGTTAAACTTTTAAAAGTAATATTTTTAAAATTTTATTTTAATTGGTTTTACGGTGAATTTTATCAAAATAAATAAAGTTATTAAATTAAGAGCTTAAGATAAATTTTCTTGTGTAATAATTGGTTATTAAATTAACACTAAATTAAGCTAATTATCCTGCACATTCTCTAAGATGCGTGCATCCCTCCAAAACTTTGTTCTTTTCTCTGTTGAACCTCTTCATTTTTCCCAGTTTCTTATATAACACAAATAGTCAAACCATGTAGTTCTTCAGAATGAGTTTAACACGGCGAATATTAAGTTGAAGTGGGAACCGGCAAGAAGCGTAAAACTGTGATTTGCATCGCTAAATAGCGGTAAAATGGAGCCCCAATATCATGGTCGAATTGCATAATAATATTGCTTGTATTAAGGGGTAGACTGCAAAACAGGGTTACTGGGTACATACAGGTCAAGTCTACTGTGGGTGACAGATTTCAGTGAACAGGGTTAAAAAAGTTTGAAACTAATTTAGATTTGCAAAAATAATATTTAAAATGAATAAAGTCTGATTTTTTATGAGTAATTATGAGGTTAACTCACATTGGTTTGATTAAAAAAGTGTGAATTTAACTTGAGTTCTATATTTTATCTGATAAGTTGGGACTGACTGAGTTGGGTTGGTTGATTTTGCCATAGTTGTCCATGATAAAAATGCTAAGCCCTATTTTTGGCACATTCATTGTTCTTTGCTTAGACTTGAATCAAAGATGCTGGAGTAGCGTGTATCATTGTTATTGTTCCGTAACAATAATATGATACTGGGTACCATAGATTATTCTGAAAGGCAAATGGATTTAGAAAATGCTTGCTTACTGGCTCAATAGCTCATATTATTATCTTACAATCGTTATTGAAAATAATGGCTTCCTTAACTATTTTTTGGTCAGGGTAATGAGCTGAACATATTATTTTAGAAATTTATCTTGCTGTGTTGACTTAGTTCTAACTGTTGAAATCGAATTAAATTCAATTGCTTCTTCGGAAATCAAGGTCAGCAAATCATACGAAAATTAAGAATTGATGACTACATGAATAGGTTTCATTTGCCACAGCTTGTGATGTTTGAAAAAGAGAGATTCGCTCATTGATCTAGGAATTTGATTGACTCAGATTATTGCTTCTACCGCGAAAAATGTCCTGATAATATAATATGACACACCTACAGAAAAGAAAGAAAGGGGATAAATAAAACTACGAAATATACTATAGACTTAAGAGATGCATTATGTTCTAAGCTATTGCATTCTTCTTGTAAAAGTATTCTATCAAGGCCATGTATGAGCCATGATTGTCCCAATCAAATTTTTTTTTTCTTTCCCTTTACCATTGAAAAGTTACGCTATTAATAGCACAGCTAGATCACTCTCAACCTGGACAATAGTTAAATCAATCAATAAATAACTCAATACAAATTGAGCCTAATTTCTTGAATCTCGCATGCAAATATGGAGGAATTTGAGTCTTTGACCTTAGTTTCATAAACATCCCACATGATTTGATTTCGTGTTTGAACATTTGGGTGAATATGATTGAAAACATTAAGTGTCATGTGATATTGATTACATAAACGTTTCTTTTCTTTTTTTAACAATAAATTCTGAAGTAGACCGTAGGTGAGTAGTTAAGAGTTAGGAAATATTAAAATGCAATTAACTTGAAAATATCATATTTATCTTTATCTTAAAAATTTAAGTTTCTGCCTCTACATGAGAATATATTTAAAATTTAGTTACTTTCTTATTAAGTACGCGACTTTCTTACTTTGAACATTTAGTTTTTATTGTTTTAAAATGATATATATTACTTAAATTTGATTTTAAATTTTAATTTGTCTAAATTTAAAGTTTTGTTACATTATTTCAAATTAAAAATATTTTTTTTTAATATGGACGGTGGTGCAGTGATATAAAAGTCTTGTTTGTTCACGTGTATATAAATCTTATCACGTGTAGACTCTTGAATCAACAGCAGCCTCAAACTGAGAATGAAAATTAGTCTTAGGCTTTTTACACTTGAGACACCTTATAATCTCATACTTCAAACAAAGATATTTTTGTAGATAAACTAAAATTTAATATTATAATAATTTTAGTAAAGTTCTAAATTGAATTTTATTATTAAATTTAAATTTTGCACATCATATCAATAAAAATAAGGTATGTTGACTAAAATAATTTATTTAAATAGTTACCTTCTTAATTTTAAAAATTTTATGTTTTTGATTTCTTTATCTTTGATTGGTAAAATAAAACATTCATTATTTATAATAAAAATGTCTACTATTTTTAAATTTATCTTTGTAAAATTTTAAAAAATTACCCTAGCTTGACTTTCTCTCACCAAAGATTTATAATTTGCCTCTGAAAATGAGAGTGAGAGATATCAATTTCCCTTTCTTTGATCGTCAGCTCATATATTAAATTCCCTTTCATAAGTTGAAGTTCACTTTCAACTAAATTTTGAGTATTTATTTGTAATGAGTAGAATTAAACTTTCTTGCCGCCCAATTACACCTCCACAAATTCTCAACGTTGCTTGAATATTCTAGGGGAATAATTTTCTATATTTTGAGCAGACAAATCAAATTTTATTTATAGAAATTTAATATATTTTAAAAATTTATCAGTTTATATAGAATATAATTATTTATTTAATGAGATAATTTTACAAATTAAATAATATTTAAGTTATCTCATAGAATAAATAATCTATTCTAAGTGAACTGATGAAATTTTATTTATAAAAAGTTAAATAAAAAATAATATAATATTTCAACAATTATTTATCTCTTGGAGTAACTTAGACAAATCCCAATATAGCAAGAAATTTTTAAAGCCATCTAACCTTTAATTACGCCTCCTTCAACTTATATCAAATAACATACTGAAGTGTGTAGCCAGACTGTCCATGAATCTGACATTTTTTCTTACTCTCATCAATCTTTCTCCAATTTAGTAATCTTATTTAATTTCAACCCATTTTTCGTAATCACATGGAACTATTGGCATGTACAATTTTTATTTATATATATACACATATATACAATGAACCTTACAATTTGTAGCACAGTAATCAATTCATAGCAGTAAAACTATACAGAACAGAACAACTAGTAATGGAAGCTCTTAGCTTCTTTGTGGTGTTATCATCCTTGTTGCTTCTCCTAATTAGTACACAATCAAGCTCAGCTCAACTTACTTATGGCTTCTACCGTAACACATGCCCCAATGTGGAACAGTTGGTTCGCTCTGCCGTTCAACAAAAGTTCCAAGAGACCTTTGTGACTGCTCCTTCCACTCTTAGACTCTTCTTCCATGATTGCTTTGTGAGGGTGTGTAAGCATATCTATTTCTTGACTTCATGATTATCACATTCACACAAACTATAGTTAGTTCTAATTGAGTTTTTATCTCTGCGTTCAGCAAATTATATAATTTGTTCATGTTTGTCCAATATCATATTTATTAATTATTCAATGATTTTAATTTATTGAGATTTTGAAAAGAATAAACCTTTGTATTAGTTCTTGAAATCATAGGTGTCAGTACTCACTTTAGTACCTGACTTAAATGAAATTCTCATTTCAGTCCATCATTTTACAAAGAATCATTTAGTTTAGTTCTTACTTTATTTATTATTGTTATTTTGCACTAAAAGAGATTAAAATAAATGACTATTTTTAAAGTCAAAGACTAAAATGAAGATTTCGTAGAGTAAAAAGTTGAAGAGTTGGCTTACAATTTTAAAAACAAAATAAAAAATTTACTTCTTTTGAAAATGTTATTGATATTATTTTTATTTCTTCACAGGGTTGTGATGCTTCGATTTTGCTTTCATCTCCAAATAATAAAGCAGAGAAAGATCATCCTGATGACATTTCACTTGCTGGGGATGGCTTTGACACAGTGGTTAGGGCCAAGGCAGCTATTGATAGTGACCCTCAATGCAGAAACAAAGTCTCTTGTGCTGATATACTTGCTCTGGCTACTAGGGATGTGATACGTTTGGTATGATACAACTTCAACATTACTTTGATTTTTCTTGATATAGTAGAGTCTGCAAAATGAAGCAAAGGGGGAAGAAATTCTATGTTATTATATTGCTCTTAGTTTTATTGATAAATAAGTAACAAGTAAGATATTACTTTTTAAGGTGCTTTCCAACTTCCAAGTCTAAGCTTTGATATTTAACACATTTCACAATGCTAAGTTTGATCATATGTTTGGCATCATATTGATTAATAATCGTATAATTGCATAATGTAGACTGGGGGACCATGGTATGAAGTTGAATTGGGAAGGCGTGATGGGAGAATATCTACTATTGCAAGTGTTCAACGCCGTCTTCCTCGCCCTGACTTCAATTTGGATCAACTTAATTCTATGTTTAGCTTTAATGGTCTCTCCCAAACGGATATGATTGCATTATCAGGTAACACACAAAAAGTGACATGGTTGTGTTATATTTCATTACTCAAGCTACTTTACACCAATTGACTAATTTAAAGCTTTTAAATTAATTTTTTTTTTTTTGGCCAAAAGATTGAATATGATGTGTTTTAATTGTGTAGGTGCACATACAATTGGATTCTCTCATTGCAGTCGTTTCTCACACCGAATTTACAATTTTAGCCCCAAAAGGCTGATTGACCCAACACTGAATTGGCAATATGCTTTGGAACTTAGAGAGGCTTGCCCTCTAAGAGTTGATCCTAGAATTGCCATAAACATGGACCCTGTCACACCTCAAACGTTTGACAACCAATACTTCAAGAATCTAGATAATGGAATGGGTCTCTTCACTTCTGATCAGGTGCTGGCTAATGATGCAAGGTCAAGGGACACAGTCAAATTATTTGCATCAAGTGAAAGAGCATTTAATGATGCTTTTGTTGAAGCTATAACCAAGATGGGAAGGATAGGTGTTAAAACAGGAGATCAGGGTGAAATAAGATTTGATTGCAGTAGGGTGAACTAAGTACAATGATGGTGTCATCCTTTAGAATAATGTTTGGTGCACATATATGGTCACCACATACAAGTGTGTGGAATGATAGAACGAAGGTGGAGCTGTGGGGAAAAAAAAGGTACAAGTAAGGGTAGTTACAATAAGATGGTGATTGGTGAGCATCATGAAAAATAAGAAGGGGTGGGTGACATTATTCACTTTGTTATTTTTAATTGTTTGATATATGAATTTTGTATATTTCATAATTCAGAGTTGAATTAATTATTGATGGAGTCCTTTCAGCTACACTGGCTTTAGGAAGTAATGTACCAGAGTTTTACAAGAAAAAGAAAGGTTTAAAGAGTAATTAGAATGTTGAGTAACTATACCCAAAAGAAAGAAAATCAATGAGTTTGAGTGAAGAGAGAAAGTAGAAATTCAATAAAAGTACAAATCCTAACAAATTGATGTGATAAAGAGTTGAATTGATTGGACAGTTAAGATGAAAATGGTGAAGAGAACGAATGAAAATAGACCAAAGAATTGATGAAAAGCATATACACCAATATCAATTGTGGTTTTAGCCAAACGCTTGAATTTCTTTTATTTTTTATTTCATTACATAATCTCTCAAATGAAGACGTGACAATTCATGCAAAAAAAGTTTTGTAAAATAAACTAAAATAAGGAGTTCACAGTCATTGATTCACTTTTATTTGGCTTCTCTATTGCTTTGTTTTTATTTGTGGAAATGGATGCTTCACAGAATGATGATCTCATACTATATGCTACCTTATTAGGCCGTATTGGTCGGTTTTCATCATAAGCATGGGCTAGGTGCAGTCACTTTGTGAGGCTTTGAGGCTAAGAAAAAGAGAAAAAAAATAAATGTTATATGGGAACTTTGTACTGTTTTTGATAACAGCTTTCATGTCAAATGTAATTATTATCCCTATTCCACAAACAATGTGGGGTTACGTTGTACACTGAGCCATGAACTACCATTTAGTTGGATCATGTTAAGAATTATGACTTACGAATTTACTTAGATTTCGGCTTTTGTCCACATTATGGTTTATTATTTCCATATTGACGTGAAATTTGAGTTACATTTGAGGCTTATGAGAAATGTTAGAGGTGCTGAATAATGTGTTTTCAAGTTCTTCATTGTTATGATCGTACGACTTATTCGATTTACGATTTGACAACTATCCCGGGGAGTAACACTGCACATTCACTTCACCATTTAATGTAAGATGAAAACAGGACAAGACTCCTTTACAATCATACAGAGTATATGATTTGCCAAAATGACAAAATTTAAGTGTAAATATTCTCCATTTAAAATAGATGTGTTGACTTTTAATTTAAATTTTTATTATACATATTATTGATATAAAATTTTAATTCTAATCGGAGATGAGCATCATAGGTATTTATATTCTTTTTAGTATATTATTTTTTAGTTAAAATTTAATGAGACACACAAAATGTCTTAGGTCATAATTTCTAGATTTATCTATGATTTTATAAATTTTAATATTTTTTAGTTGGATTATAAGGAACTTAAAGCTCAAGATTTGATTACGTTAGAATAGTTCTTGTCAACTACTTTACGCACTCACTAGTTGATATATTGATCATTGAATTCGTTTCAAGTGAATTACTTTATAATAAATTAATTAAAATTTAAAAGTTATACACCTTCACATCTCACTGTTGAAATGAAGGCACTTATGATGAATTATTTCAATTGGAAAAATAGAAGTCGTAATTGGGTGCTGTAATTGACTGAACTTCCCAAAGCTGAATGCCTAATCAATGTTCATTGTTGAAGACACATTAGTATTTGCAGGTTGTCGTGTAATTAACCTTATCATTATCAAAGAAATAAAGACAAGGCACAAGTCTACAAGGTCAACAAGGTCTGTCTACAGACAAGAAATTGCCTAACACAATCTTGTGTCTTGAGGTCCCATCTATTAGCAAGTGTCACAAAGGAGTTTAATATTCAACTAAAAATAAAAATGCATTGAGAGTGTGGAAATTAATCACATACAAAAGCCATGTTATCATTTAAATTAAAAGATACAAATTCTGGGCATACAACAGTGAATAAACCTGTTTTTGTGACAATTCAGTTTGCAAGAGACAATCTTGAAAGAAAGCAATGACATTGATAGCCATTTATCAAATGTTGCCATGTGATGCTCTTATTCTAGCTACTTAGTGGTGGAGCTTTTTTTTTCCCTTAAAGAATAAGGTTCAGAAATAAGAATTGAACATCATTTTCAAAATAGGAATTTGGGCAAAGAAGAAATATTAACCCTTTTGATTTGATAATGGTCATTTGAGAATGGACATGAAAGTAATATAAGAAGCACATAAAACTAACTCTACCTATTTACAGAAAGGGACATACAGAAGTGGGTATGTAAGTTATGCATTTATTGGAATAAAGTGAAAACTAATCTAGGAATCTGAACACATGAACCATAAAAATTCAGTGGTCCATGTAGAGAGTTGAGTGGAAGGATACAATCAAACAAGTTAAACTCCTATTTAAGCTTTAAACCTTGAGAAAGCCAATGTGGCCCCTTTCTTTCTTGATCAAATGTCACACTGGAACTGCTAATAGGGGTGGTGGGGTCACTGCAATCTCCCACCCTATCTGATTGGAAAGAGACAGAAGAATTGAGGTCCTTAGTTTTCCTATTGGGTGAGTCTGAGCACCCTAATGGAAGCAGATAAGACTTCTTATTATTCTTCTTAACTTGGCTTCCTCCTATACTTAAAGTCAAATCAACTTCCATGTCTTCATCAAAGCCATCGCCATTGCTTATTTTACAAGTGTAGGAGCTAGGTCCTGCCTCACCTTCATCACAGCCTCCAAAAATGTCTCTCTCAGCAGGCCTTTCTAGATCAAAACCCCTTTGCCTTTTTATGGTCTCTCCAGAACAGCTTCCACTCCTTTCTTTTGAGCATAGCTCCTCTCTCAAACTTTGAACATGCAAACCAGGTCCATATGAAATTATTGTACTTTGCTGGTGGTGTTGTTGAAGGATATGAGGATGGCGGCTTATGTCTATGCCATTCATAGGGGTCCAAATTTTGTTTTGTTTTGTTTCCTTTCTTAGATCATTCATCATCATCTTTTGCACACTGTATACCCGGTGTAGCTCCCTTACCTACAAATTCCAAAAACTCATAATTACCAACTAGTAATAGCTTCAAATTCCTGCATATCACTAATGGATATATCATTGGGATATGATAAGAGATTTCAACTAGATTGGCAAAAATAATGTTACACATGGTGCCTGCTAGGAGTTCTAAACATATAATTATAAAGCTTATAGAATGATTAGAAATTTAGAATGTGACAATGGATACAGTACATATGTTACAGAATGAAGGACATCTTACATTGATTTTGACCTCAGTATGGTCGGTATCAAAAGTATAATGATTGCACATTACTAGCAATTTATTATACAGTTTCCCCCCAAATCTTAATGAAAGGTGAAAGCCTCTAATACTGTTGGATTAAAATCACTTGTTACCGTTTCCTATCCCATTCCCATCCTCCGATCAACAAGTAACACACGGTTAAAGACTACTCCTTTTGGTGTTATTTATAAAAATCTAAATCACACAAATTAAAAAAAGTTGTTAAAATTAATTAATATAGTAATTTTTGAAAGAATAACTATAACATTCCAAAAAGTTTTCTCCTATTTATAGTTAACTCTTTTATCATATTATTTGCGGAGAAATTAACAATGTTCAATATTTATGATGAGAAAAAATATGAAAAATAATAATAATTTCTTAAACTTTGTAAAGGATTTTATATTAAGGATCATAAATTTTTTAAAATAATTTTATAAAAAATAAATAATAGAGTAACACATCTTCTCTTGATTCTTAGTTTTCCTCCCTTTGAATGTTACAACCAAAGAAACCATCTGATCCACACCCTATGACATTTTCTTAATGCAGTGTAACATTTCTGGTACAAATTGAATGACAACCCTGAATTTTGTGGTTAAGATGGGATGATAAACCTTACAACATGAATCTGATACCTGGTGTTTGAAGATGTCCTCATGCATCTGCATTGTCTTTTTGATGGATTCTAAGTTGTTTCTGTCAAGCATCCTATCCATGGGATCTTGCAATTTATTCACTCCAATACTGCAATGGTTGTTAGTCACTCCTTTGTTCTGATAATGCTCCCAGACATCCACACCACCCACAATGAAGTTGTTGCTGTCTACTGAGGATGCTAGAAGATTTATGGAATATTCAATTTTAGTTCCCATGCCTGTAACAGAAATTAATACTTTTTAAGTTTTTTTTTTTCTGACTATCATCAGACTTCAACTTCTATGCCTAGTGAATGTTGAGTAATGCATCAGCAATTGGAAAAATGCCTTCTTTAATTATGCTTATTCTTGGGAGAAATTGCAATATGAAGAAATTGTAGAAACGTATACTCTGATTAAAAAAATGTGAAAACTGAGATACAAAAGGAAAGCTTGCTACTGACGTGCTTGTTACAATTCCAATCAACTTCCCAAAATTGTATATGGTAAGAGTTTCTGATGTTAATTGGTAGAATTATATAATCTCTCAAAAAAACACCAAATACTAATAGAAGAAGGAAACTGAGGTTTTAGGAATGTTTAACAGGTAATCATACCATAATTCCATTGCAAGTGAAGAAACTTAAGCGCTCACATACGGAATTCGAGATCCCAAATAACAAGTCAAAATAACTTCATATCATACACTAACATTGTATATTGTAAAATATTTTTGCTTCCTTTTTTGGTGAATAGATATAGAGCCAACTATTGCATAGGTACTAGTATGGTGTTTGAATAAATTTGTCAAAACAGGGGAAACTTTACTAACCAAAAGTAGAGAGGGAGGAGACAGAGAGAATTTGGGTAGAAAAGTTCAAAAGTGTAACCAAACATCGCCAGTACATTGAAGAAGCATGAAATAATGAACATTAGATGTAGGCATTTATGTGGGTGTCAGTGTGGGATGAAAGCATCACAAGCAATAAGGCCAGGCCCATAACAGTGTTTTGATCTACTATTCCAAGATACTAGGCACATAAAAGTGTTCATTTCTCATAGTTCCATATAAAGCTAGGCTCAGTGAAAAGAAAAGGAAAATAAAGCTAAAGACAAAAACTAAACTTTTTATCTGATGCAGCTTAAATAGAGACTAAAACAAAAGAATTCAATAAAATTAGAAAAGATCACACCCCTCACACAGACCCCAAGAGTTTAAATGTCAAGGACTTGTGCTAGTCAACAAAAAAAAATTTCTTGAAACTTTTTGATGCATCACCATAGATAGACATGAACAACACTTTCATAGCAATCAAAACTATCAGAAATGGCCTTCAATTTTCTCAGTTGCTGAAAAATATAAGAAGCATTAAATCTGAGAGCCGCAATAACAAACACCTTCACAGGTTATTTGTCTGGAGGCTCCTCATCAAAGTAAAAAAATAGAAAGAAAGAAAGAAAGAGTTATCATTATTAGGAGTTAATTCCTGCTTTGAAGTTGATGTAAAGGATCACCTGTTGTAAGAAGTACCAAAATTGCAACTTTCTCTGATGAAGTTCATTGAGCATCTTCCTCCCTCATGCCAGCATTTTTTTCCCACATGTTAGTCTTTTCTAACAAAACCAATACTAATATAACAAGTGGCCAATTCTCTCATGGTTCTCCTAGAATCATGGTTGGAAAAAGAAATAAAAAATAAATTTAAGGGACGGATCAATCCAAGTGGTGCACCATCTGGGGAAATTGGAGAAAGCTCACAGACAGAAGAAGCAAAATTCTTAGGCTTGGTTGTTTAACCCTTTACTTAGAAACAACAAAGAAACCAGCTCAAATTTTAAAACTAGAATCATGGAGTTAATAATTCAGAGTTGACAGGCTGTGAGAGAAAAGAAGCAAGAGAAAAGCTGGAACTGCAATGTGTCTGTATATGTGTGAGTGCCTGAATGATATTGAGAGAGAGAGAGAGAGGGAGGGAGGGATGTTATAAATTATAATGTGAATATTTTTGTATTTGTAACTTATACTTTAATTTAATGTATATTGTATATTTGTGCTTCACTGTAATGTGGGAAAGGATAGGAGAGAGGGGACCACAAAGTTGCATAATAAAAACAAATGACACTCCTAAACATGAGCCAATGTAGGCCAGTGAACAAGATATTCCAGACAGAGTCTTGTAAAACTTAATCAAGATATGCATGAACAATGAAAGTTAGTGCTTCTTTCCTATAGGACCTACCATCTCTCTCTATCTATCTATCTTTAAATTTTCTTGTTTTTGGATATTCAACGATTGAGATTTGATTATTCTTTCCGTACATGCAGAACAATATCTAGTCATCTGTTATGTTTGAGATTTCACCAGAGTACCAATTTGCATCAGGTGTTCATTGGGATTCCATGTAGTGAATTTCCCTTGTTGGTTGCAGTAAATTCCATTGGCTTGGGATTTGAAATTGATAATGACTGCTTCCATTTCCACACACTATAGGGGGGGCCATAACTTGCTCAAATGTTCTGTTGAGAGGATCAAGGATCATGCACATGCTTCTTCTCTATCCGTGAAAAAATGGAATTGACTACAATTTTCACCAATAAAAAATTTTCCCTTTACTTCAGATGAAAGATCCCTCTCATTATCGCAAAAATTAAGAAAAAAGGAAAAAAAAATTGGACCCTTTTATATATTATGCTATATATAGTACCTAAGTTATGCTTTCTTGGTTGATATTTAGTGCATGGCAATTCAAATGGAAAAGAAGTATTTTTTTTTTCCTCGGATCAACCTTAAATAAAGTTGAGTTTCAATTATCGTGTAGAATTTCTTCTAGAGAATGCTAAAATAATATATAGTTTGAAAATGAAAAAGGCTTTGATAACTTTGATGTGTTAGTTGAGGAATGGAATGTTAATGTATGGACTAGAAAAAGAATGGATGGTCTGTGGTGCATCGAATGGATGTTCCCACGTCACTGTGTCCCATCTTCACTCTTTTGGTGCTTCCCTCCTGCCCTTTTCCTTGTACATTTTTTTTCTCAAAAAATTGGTGAGGATGCTAATTAGGAACCTTATTAAATAAATAAATAATTATCAAAGTGAATAGAAACTTGGAGATCTTCTTAACGAGCTGTCAGTAATAATTTGAAGAATACATAAAGAGTTAAGGTAGAAAGATGAGAAACTTCCCACCTGAGTCCATCTATTTTTCATCAAATGAGAATTAATTTCAGTGATATATGTTTAATTTTTGTAAATAAGTTTGAGTTTAAAATTTTAAATTAAAAAATAGTTAAACAAGTTAACTTTATTATGATAAAGTATGTTAATAATTGAGTTTAAATATCTAATAATAATACTTTTTTTTAATAAAAATTATTATGTTAATGTTTAAATGCAACTCATAAAGTAAAATGAAATCATGTGAAATTGATTACAATATAGATATTTTTTTTACTCAAATGAATTTACTTAAAAAGTGTTATTTACACCAAAAAGGATGGATGATTGTGGAAAATTGAAAAGAAATGGAAATGTGTTCTAAGATTCCAAAATATTGATCCGGAAAAATAAGGGCCACACGTATGAACGTGTGTTTGTGATGATTAAGAAATGCATAGATTTTGGTATTTAAATATTTGGTTTGATGAAACATGTGGACATGCCAGTCTGTCCTATCTTGTATTTTAGTTGCTATCCAAATCCCTTTGGGAGCTTTGGCCTCTACCCATATTCAGAAGCCTTAATGCAACAATTGCTTTCACAATTTGCACAGAAAACAATGCACACGCGTGCTCTACTACATTTCTGCATTAATCTATCACTTTTTTGCGTTTTCTTCCAGTTCCGATTCCCTGTTCAAGAAATCAGAAATCTTAGATAGGTTAAACATATGTTAGTAATATATTTTAACATACTCTTTTTAAAATACATTATTCAAAATATCAGTTTCATTTTGAATATAATAAATCTTATTCATATTTTATGTTTTTTTTTTAAAAATTTATAAATAATAAATTTATTAAAAATGACCACAAATAAATATTACTTCTACCATTTTTTCTTATACTTAACTTTAACAAACATGTTAATGTATAAGAGGAATAAAAAGAATAAAGAGAAGTTGGTGTATAAAACGCACCTTATTTACATGCATCAAATTCGGCTTCTCTATAAAAAAGTATGCAACATACGCTGTGGTTAAAAAGTAAAAGTTGGGTCACAGGAAAGCCAAATTCACTGTAACAGTTAATATTTTATGGCAAGCATCCAAACTGAGTTTCTCTTAGTTGTTGATCTTCCTTAACTTGTTGAGGCAAATTTGAATACTAAACCATGCTTTTCGACTTAAGTAAGCCTGTTTAGAATTTCAATTCAGATCATTAAATCAGTCAAAACTATTGATTGATGACACTTGTTTGGTCTATGCTAGTTTAATTACATTCAAATCAATAATTTTTTTATATTATATAGTAAAATAATATATTTAATCAAATAATACGATATTGTATTCAAATTTAATAATTGACTAAACATTCGTGCTTTTATAACATAAAGAAATAAAGTTGTAAATAACTCTAAATATAACATTTAAAATGACGATCTCTAAGCTAGTAAGTTTCAGAGAAAACTTATAAAACAACAAAGCATAAGCTATAGCTATATTTTTTTCAAAAATGCTAGCTCCAAATCAATTCAATTAGTTTCTTACAAATTTTGCTGATTTGGCCAATTGATTTATTTTATATGAGAAATGAATCAACGTCTCAAAAAAGGATGAGACATTTCATCCTAGTTTTAGTCATATTATCCAAAAGGCAGCAAATAAATGTAGGACCGGTAGAAATTAGGATTTCCCATTTCCCAGTCTGAAGGGCATGATTCTTGGAACATGTTCATTTGATATATATTATATATAGTAGGTTATATATGTCAAACGTGAATTCACCTTTTCTTGGGATTATTGAATGTATAACATTAATTAGATTGCCTGAAGCGATTAAAATTTAAGTATTAGGAACTTGATATGTCTGGGTTGGCCACGTGAACCTTTCACATGGCTAATGGACCTAACAATCAACAACACCTAAACACAGCACAGAGATTCAATCATGCCTCGTTACACAGAACAACATCCCAAAACTAAAAATATCTCAAAGATATCACTATCTATTTTCTTGGAGGATGATGTTATTAACTATGTGACTATGTTGTCGTTTTCAAGGGAAATTGGGTAATACAAGAGATAGAGAAAGACCTGTGTACCAATCGCCAACTGATTGGAGGGGGGGTCATCAAAAATTGTCAAAATCAAAGTTAAGATTTGTAGGAGATTGACATTAAAACACAGTTTCTCTGCTGTCATGAGTTGATCTCAGCATGACGGTGATAAAAACTTTTTCCATTTATTTTTTATTTTATAAAATAAATATTAATTACTGTTTTCAGCATATAAATACTTAAGAAATTCTTTACTTAATAATTAAAAATATTTATTGATATAAAAGGAAAAAATTTTAAATTATTAAGGTAATAAATCACAGCTCACTCAAATACCCATTATTTTATTAGTTTGGTTAGATGCACCTACGTGTTTGTGAAACACCAAACTCTATAGCTTTTGAAGAAATCTTCTTGGTCAACACTTTACGTAAAATGGTTTGATTAAAATTGAAGTATCCTTGTATAACCTCACCCAACTCTTTCATGTTTATTTTACATTAGAAGTAGGAAGATAAACTCACATAGGAAGATCGAGGGGATAAGGAATAACAGTAACCTCACCCATCTCTTTCATGTTGATTATTAACTTTGATAAAAATGAAAACGTAATTTGATGAAGTTTTGAAAGGGTCTGAGGAATATGAAAGTGGGTCCATATTGCAAATAGAGTATGGAGAATGTGTAGGGTTGATGTTGTAGGAGGACATAGAAGCATAAAGGCTAGTGGTAGAGTTGAAGTTGCAGAAGCTACTCAAAGGCACGCGTTGTAGCCTAACGAAGGCACAAGCCGTAAGAAACTTGACCCACCATATTACTTTCTATTTTTCAATAACATTAACTTATCACTCTCAATTGCTGTGGGGGACACCTTAACAGAAGAGACTTGGCCCCCTCCCTACTATTTCCAAAATTCTTTTTTTTTTTAATGCTTTTTCTTTTTTACTTAGGCCTTTCTTATTATATTTTAAGAAAATATATTTTTAATGCAAAATAATATATATACTTTTTTATAATAATAAAAAATGAATTTAAGATATTGAAACTTTTTATATGATATTTGTTATGTTTTTACTGGTTTTTA